GCAAAAATGACAAACAAATGGGGCCACTCATTTTATTGAATACAATGTAGACTTTGCCAGGGAATTATCCACAATCATATGTTTGTTTCTGATAGTTACAAGGCAAAGTATTTTACCTTCTATTCACAACAGTATAGCTGAATTTTTCTCATAGTGCAAGCAATATATAATATCTGCTTGGAACAGATGTTTGACAACTTTTTATAAAACATAGCTTCATGTTAATATTCTACAGAATCTGAGATGATGTTAATATGAATATGCAATACATAATTAAGATCAGTAGGTCAAAACTGGACAAAACAGTATCAAGAATAGCAAAAACAAGACTGACATAATATATTTTCATATGTCAGATGATTAATTTTATGATTCTGAGTGAAGAAAGGGAGTCTGTTCAGTAGAATAAGGAAAATAGACTTCAAAAAAGCAGACTTTAACAGAGTTGTAGAACTAGTAGGTGAGTTCCCATAGGAAGAAAAACTAGGGGAAAAAGGAGTTGAGGAAGGCTCGCATTATCTCAGGAGGTGGTAATATAGGTAAAACTGCCATCTATCCTGATGCAAAGGAAAGACTGGAAGAAAACTAAGATGCTATTATGGCTCTATCAGGAGTTCTTTAATGACTGAAAATCAAAACGGATTCTGACAAAAAGTAGTACCGTGGATGAACATCAGAAAGGGTAAGGCACAAAATGAGTTACATTTTAGCAAAGAATATAAAAGGCAAATTTGCATTAGGAAAACCAGACAGACATAGGAAACTGTGGGCCCTCTACTTTCAGGGAAGGAAAGCTAGTAACCAGTGATGTCAAGATGGTTGTGGTTTTTAATGACTATTTTGCTTCACTAAGACGGTTAATGGTGACAGATACCCAACACATGGTATTAACAAAAAAGAGGGAAGGAACACAAACCAAAAAAGGGAAAGAATATTTAGTTAAGTTAGATATACTAAGTTGGCAGGCCCTGATGAAAGTAACTCGTTGAACCAATCTTGAAATTGTTAGCATTTATCTTAGAGAATTCATGGAGAATGGGTGTAGTCCCAGAAAACTGGAGTATCTGCATTTAAAAAGGGCAACAGAGAGGACATAGGAAATTATAAACCAGTCAGCTTTACTTCAGTGTTTGGAAAGTTACTGGAGCAAATTATTAAACAATCAATTTGTAAGGACCTAGAGATGTAATAGAGTTCTAGGGAATATTCATCATGAATTTCTCAAAAACAAATCATATTAAAGCAAACCAATTTCCATCTTTGACAGATTTATTGACCTACTAGAGAACAGAGAAACATTAGATGTGATATATCTAAGTCAGACTTTTGATAAAATCTCACATGGAATCCTCATAAACAAATAAGGAAGTATCATATAGATGAAATAACTGTAAAGTGGGTGCACAACTGGTAGAGAAACCATACTCAAAATATGGTTACCAATGGTTTGCTGTCAAACTTAGAGGGTGAATCTAGTGAGCTCTCACAGGAATCAGTCCTGGATCTGGAACTAGTCAATATTTTTATTAATGACTTGCATAATGGAGTGGAAAGTATGCTTATAAAATATGCAGATGACACTAAATTGGTTAGGGTTGTAAGCACTTTGAAGAGCAGGGTTAGAGGTCAAAACAATCTTGAAAAATCTGATGAAATTCAGTAAAGATTAGTGAAAATATTTTAAGGAAGGAAAACTCAAATGTGCAGCTACAAAATGGGGAATAACTGGCTATGTGGAACTACTTGTGGACTACAGTGGGTCACAAATGAATAAGTCAACAATGTGAATCAGTTGTGAAAGAGGTTAATATTTTGAGGTGTCTTAGCAGGCACTAGTGATGCCTCAAATGGGGGATGATGGTCAGTTCTAGGAAAGATGTGGGCAAATTGGAGAGTCCAGAGGAGAGCAACACAAAGTATAAAAGTTTTAGAAAGCCTTACCTATGGCCTTGTTTAGTCTTGGAAAAGATGCCTGAGGGAAACAGTTTTCAAATATGTTAAGGGCTGTTATAAAGAGGAGGGCATCAATTGTTCTCCACGTCCACCGAAGGTAAGACAAGCGATAATGAGCAATTTAGATTAGACCTTAAGAAAGACCATACGGATAGTTCAGCTCTCAAATAAACTTCCAAGGAAGTTGTGTAATTCCCATCACTGGAGATTTTTAACAACAAGGTGGGGCAAACACCTGTCAGGAATGGTCTGTGTTTTCTTGGTCCTGTCTCAGCACAGGGGTTTGGATTTGATGACCTCTTAACCATTGAAATGCAGGGCTGGAACATACCTTATCCCAATTGTCCCTGTGTACCACTTCAGTGATGCAAAGGGCTTAGAACATATCCATATGTGTCCAGCTGAGAATTCCCCCAGCATGGGAGAGTTCTTAACATTCATGGTTCAGTGCTCAGGCATGAAAGACTCATTGGCGGGGAGGGTGGCCAAAATTACAGGCCCTGCAAGCCACATCTTCAGTCATTCGAAAGCTGGGGTGTTGGGGCTTCAGACATGTTCCTTCTGAAAGCTCTGTGAACCCTGCCAGGTGTGCCCCACAAGTCTGATGCCCCAAAACTCTCCACCGTGCTGGGCAGAAACTCCTACCCCACCACCGCACTGCAAGACAAAGGTCCTGAGCTTCCTTTCCCACATCTGGTAGGTAAAGAATTTGGGGGGCACAAGCTGCACTTTAATGGTACAAGAGCAAGATGTAGTTCACGAGACACAGTTGGCACTAAAATTAGAGAAGGCCTGGTCAGGACATTGCTGCACTCCAATTTTTCTCATACTGTTCCAGTTGGCATAGATTAGGGCACCGTTTTTCTAGCCTGTGCCATGACTGAGTCAGGATCAAGTTGATCAGAGGATTAGGGAGATGTAATCTTTTCCTTGAACCTTGCTCATAGACTTCTGTTTCAAGCCGTGAATAGTCTAGCAGCACCTTAAAGACTAACAAAACATGTAGATAGTATCATGAGCTTTCATAGCTACAACCCATATCTCAAGTTCATCTGAAGAAGTGGGTTGTGCCCACGAAAGCTAATGATCCCATCTACGTGTTTTGTTAGACTTAAAGGTGGTGCTAGACTATTCGTTGTTTAAGTTTTTTAACTCGGCTACCCTTCAAGTAGTGTTCAGGTAAGCACATGATCAAGCCTAGAGATAGTAAAATTGCTTTAGAAATATTAATTTATCATTATCCTATTGCTTTCAGAAAATATACTGTTAAATTGCTTTGATTAAACTTTTGATATTAGAATGAAAAACTCCAAGTTAACAATTTATGAACATTTTTTTGCAGCGATAGTAATTTTGTTTGGAAAGCTAGTCTATGTTTTTATAGATAGCTAATGGATAGTATTTAAAAGATACCACAAAAAAGAAAAAAAATGTTTTGTGATTCGTAAGGGGAAAATATTCTAGTACTTTGAGTGCTCATTTCTATCATAGCCAAAAAAAGTTTAAAGTACTTGGTGATACTTTGGTTCTTGAAAAGGAGCTGTTCCATGTGGCAAAAATATATTGTCTGGTAATCCTACATTCCTATTATTAACCTTCCTAGAACCACTTATATGGATACCTATGTACAATATTACCTTTTTTGAATCAGGAATGTGGGAGGGGGGCTAATTAGCTGCTGAAACAGTGTAGTTCCTTTAATGTGCTGTATATAAATACAGTGGTAGTAAAATTAAGACAGGTTCACAGTGAATTATTTCTTTTTAAAAATTAATTGTGTAAAATTTTTCAAATTAGTGGCAAATTATGCATCAGATTTTTCAGAGCTCAGCTGTAGTGGAAAAAGAAGGAGCAATGTGAGCACTTCCTGATTGTCAGCCATCTAGCCTCAGCTTTTAAAGCTAGGGAAGAACAGCTCTAATTTACACTGTCACTGGATGAGCTCCACTTTGTCTTGCCCCAGTAATGGCTCCTTACTTCCCGTACATCAGGAATTATCACAGGAAGCAGTTTCACACTAGCTGTTGCAGCCTCTGTGCCATCTATTTTGCATTGTATAAGCAGCACTGTAACAGATTGGAGTCTGACCTTCAAGCTTTTAAATTTGAATAATGTTTCAGATGCTCTGATATTTATATTGGTGGAAAGTTTTGCAAAATTTCCTGCCTGCTCTGAATATCTTCTTACTTCAAGAGATAAGTACAATACAAGAAATTAAAAAACAAAACAAAGTGTCCTCTTTTTTTAAGCAAGTTTCAGATAATTTAGTCAAACTTGACTCTACAAAATCTTTCTTCAATGAATTCTCACCATAATTTGTAAGAAATAGGCCAAACTAAAAGCAAAATGCCCAAAAAATCTGCTTTTAAGTCAAAACATAAGAGAAATCTGCTGCAGAAAAGTCACAAGAAAGTTTTTAGACTAAATTTCTACATTGAGGTATTTATTTTGACTGAGAGTAAAAAAGCAAACATAAAAATTAGTCGTAATAATTCTGCATTAGAACCAGTGTGTTCAACGGTGGGTGTTTCAGGATAGGCACCCTACCATATAATTAGGACCCTGAATAAATAGGACCACCAGAGCAGCCCTTGTCTGCAGCAGGGGGTGAAGCAGCCTCCTGCCTGCAGCTGGTGGGGAGCTGCTCCAACCCTCCCCGTTTAACTGGTAAGTATCACCTTTAACCGGTTAACCCTTCATATCCCTAATAAGAACTAAATATTGTTGTTAAATATTTATTAAATTTGAGTGAGGCTATTTAGCTGAAATGCCATTACAGTGCTTCGACTTCCTATAACTGCGCATTTCTGTTTATATTCAAAGTATACACATTTTATAATCTTTCAATCATATCGTCAGGGCTGGTTTTGGTTATGTTTTGCTTTTTTATAAAACTGATGCATCAATGTATTTTTGTGACACTAGCACTAGTATCTGTGGATTCTTTTAACGAAACATTTTACACAACCAGGAATATGTTGCCTGTAGACAAAACTGTCTGTTTCTAAAAAAAAAAATGGTAGTGAATAATATACTTCTCTGTGTAGGATAATGGCTCTCCTGAAGAACATGCAATTTATGTGTGGGACCACTTCATTGCCCAGTCAGCAGCTGAGAATGTATTTTTTGTCGCTCACAGTTATGGTGGACTTGCATTCGTAGAGTTGGTAAGTATTGACTTTTCTCTTTGCCTGTTTTCTGAGGATTTTATGATATTTTCAGAAGTTAAATTTAATGTGCTCATTCCAAAGAAGCAGCTTTTCTGGACAGATTTCATTTTAGAAACTAAAAGAGTTAGAATCAAACAAAAAGAATCCAATCTAGGGTCCCAGGGCTAGTAGATTTTATGGGGCCCCCTTAGGCTCTGGATGGGGCAAAAAATGAGGGCTTCAGTGTGAGAAAGGGGTTGCTGGGGAGTGGGATAGAGATGGGGGTGCAGGAGGTGGAGTGTAGGAGGGGGAGAGGGTGCGAGGTCTGGGTGGGGGAGGTAGGATGCAAGATTGGGTTGAGGATCTGGCCAGGAGTTAGGGTTTTGGCAAAAGATTGGGTTCTGCAGAAATGTGCTGGGGGTGGAGAACTGGTTGGGAGATTGGGTGCAGGAGCAGGCTGAGAGTGGTGGTCTGGCCAGGAGGTGGGATGCAGGAGCAGGGGGAGAGTGGTGAGTGTAAGGGTGGATGAGGTCTGGACATGAGGGGAATGAAGGGGTGTTTACCTGGCTCTGCGCACCCTGCTGCTCCCAGAAACTGCTGCCCCCTTCCCGTTGCTCCCATTTCAATTCTGGTCAATGGGATCAGTGGGGAGTTGCCAGGGGAGCGGTTTTCTGCATTCCTTTCCCCCAGCTAGGGGGAGGGAGAGTAGCAGCACACGAAACTGCTTCCTCCTCCCTCATGAGCCAGATCTGTTCTGTGAGGCTCAGGGTTCCCCACCTTCCCCCAACACACACACAGCGGGAAGCCAGCGTTGGTACTCCAGCCACGCCACAGGGGGCTGTGTGCCAGTGCTGGCTCCCTGCTGCAGGGTGGGGCCAAGCCCATAGCCCATCTGCAAGATAGACACAGACCACTAGCAGTCGACGGACCACACGTCGAGAACCATTGCTCTACCGCTTTACAGGCTCATGCTCCAGATGTCCCAGGTTTGTTTCTTCCTGTCAGCATTACGTTTATGTAAAGTTTTTTACTTTTTTGATACTCTTTAAGAAGAAAATAGATGGTCAATGAGAAAACAAAAAAAGAAAAGATTTTATGTTTCAAAGATTTTAACAGTTTTGATGATTTTGTTATGGAAATTAAGGCCATTTTAGTTCTCTCATTGCTTCTCCAAGTCTTCCTTAAACAGTCTGTGTGTATGCAAATGTTGAAACCTGATACTGATTTAGCTGATCTAATCCCACAAATGTTTTACAGTCCTGTCAGTGAATTGTACAAATTTTATTTTTATTTTTCAAAACAAAAGATATCAAGATACCAAATACTGCAATGATAAGGTGATTGTATAACATATAAGCCCTTTTCGATTACATTTTATGATTTAGGTTCCTCATACATTATAAGAGTCTGGGTTTTTTTGTGATTTTTTTTGCTTTTGTAAATAAGAAGATTGCTAGATTATCTTGATGTGCTTTCATTTTGAAACTGAAATCTGTGAAATTCAGTAGGTTTTGTCAAATAACATAGTTTGGGTCACTGGATACATACAAATAGATTGTATGCACATTTCTGAATAAGTGTTACTTAATTGATTAATAATAGGCCTTTAAAGAAGATAGGAAATGTCAAGTATGTTTGAGAACTTTCTTTACTTCTAATAAACAAAGCATGTACTTGAAGGTATTTTGGAATTTTAGTGAGTAAAATTCTATCACATTTCAGTCAATGGCTTGGAATGGCATGGGTAACAGATGACCAATGTGTCATCCCCATTTTGCTTGCTTCTCTTGTCACACTGGTGGATATTTCTCCACTTTTGTTCTAGTCTAATATGAAGCACACAGATGTTTCAGAACAAGACTTGACTTCTGACCTTGGGGCTTCTAGGGTCAGGGTGCTCAGGGCCTGTGAAATTATCACAAGCTGAGCTAAAGTTTTTCTCCATCACAGGAAGTAACCAGTAAGCAAGAAGTTAAAAAGGAGCTTTGTCATAGAGACAAGATGGTCTCAGTAAGGGTCAGCTTCTGTAGTCTGCTATCTCTACAGGAGGTGCATGCATGGGAGGAAGAATATAATATATTAACTACTGGCACATCACATATCTGTCAAGGAAAACTAGACCTGAGAAGTATATTTATTGTAATAGTCCTTATTTTTATAAAAATGGGATTAACACCTATTTTTGCGTTCACAGTTAAAACTGTTTATATCTGATTTACTTATTTATGTTTTGGGTTTGTTGGCAGTAGAAATTTAGATTGGAAGTTGCCCCTAGCTATACTGGAAACAAATATTGAACTATAATAAAATAGATTTTATTTTTACCATAAAATTGTCAGATTTCCTGATTGTTTTTTTTTCCCCCTCTGTCCTGGAAGTTTTAGCTCAGAATTTTTTAACTTGTTTTTAAAAGAGAAGTTTTTAGTCTCTAAAAGAAGTTATGCTTCTAAACTGTTTACACCTTTCTCTCTCTCCCCCCCTAGGGTTGGCAAATTCACATAAATATAGTAGTTATATAGACTCCTTGTATACTTCTCATCCTGTTTTCATTCCCCTTGCAGAGGGCAATGTGAAACTTCTGGTTTTCACTTGGAATGTAGGGCCTTGCCTGAGCCTTTTGCGTGAGATTGTACCCACAGAAGTAAAAGAAATACAGACTTCGAAGTAATTGACTTGTATACCTTGTGTTGGTATGCATACAACACTGCTGAAAGTGTTCTGATTGTTCACAGTTATTTAATCACTGAAGATCTCTAGCTTTTCTTTTCTTCCTTGTGGAATCCACTCTAATAGTAACTGTCATTGTAGAGTAAGGTCCAGAGACTCAACATTAAATGGTAGATTGTGGCATTTATCAACTGTTATAGCAACAGTAATATAAAGCTGGTTTTTTTCCTGCAGTAGGAGTAGCAGGAGGCATTCAGCTTTACCAAGACAGAATGTCTTCAGGAACAAACTGGTTGCACCCTTGGGTCGCTTTCTTTGGGAGGGAAGCATTTTTATAGCAGTCTCTGTGCTCCCCAAAGTGCTGGGGGTGGGGCAACAATGATGGCCATCTCTTGTGAAGTTGGAACAAAAGGGGGAGCATCATTATTCAGTTACTATTGTTCTGTAGCTGGATAAGGCCTTGCTCACAGTCTAGCTTTTAGTTTTGATGTGATTTGCAGGTATTTATATAACCTAATTAGAGTTTTCTAGATTTTTCAAAGATTTGTCACAAGGTACGTTATGGTATTTTTATTGTTATCCAAAACTTTTGCCTATGTATGCACATCTAATTGTTGGTATTTGTGAGATGTTTAGGAAAACAGAGTAAGTCTGCAATACCATGCTTGAATGCACAAAAACTGTTATCCTTTTACTGCAGGATAAGCACACTATTCCTCTACCTTACTGGGTCACAGATAACAAGAGAAATAATTGAAAGTGATTTAGCATGTGTGGGAAGTAAAGTTTCACCAATAAGTGTAATTAGTTATATTGTTTATAGTTTGAATTACAAGTAATAATCATAAGACTGCTGCTAAAATGTATCTTAACATTTACCAATTAAAACTTTGTATAATTGTAGTTTGAAATTAAATGTACAGCAAACAGATGTCTCAAAAGCAAATTACTTTTTAAATACACAGCACTAAAATAGTTGTAGGTCATAGTCTTTTGCTAATTACTGATTTTGAAATCTCAAAACATTATGCATGAACATATCTTATCTATCTTCTGTTATCTCTCACACAGTATAGTGGAGTTGGAGATTTAAAGCAGCTTTGTTGTATTTGATGGTAAACAACAGAATTTGTGCAATGCCTATAAAATATTACAGAAAGTGAGATTTTTAAGTTGGAGTCCTTCTATGTGTGGTCAGTTAAAAGAAAAAGACCTAGCACCATTTTTTGTGCCATTTTTTGTGGTGTTACAATTTTACTTTGAGTGCTTTTCTGCCCCCTGTTCCTATGTAAAAGTTCACACCTGTCTGAGGCCCTGAATATGCAGTTGGATCCAAGAACAGTAGTTAGATACTTCTGCCTGTGTGGACCCCATGAGCCACTCTTTCAGATCTAATTGCAGAAGTAGTGTATGCAGGAGAAAACAAATTCAGATAGAAATGTGATTTCTAGTTTTCTGGTATCACTTTTAAAACAAATGCATTTCCGTGCATTTACCCTCACTGGGGGGACAACTACATATTTCAGAATCTTCAAAAGAATCACCAGTCCCAGACTTTAAAAATCATTAATCAGGCCCTTCAAAATCAAGAGTTTGGCTTATAAATCATGAGATATTTTTAAAATGATAAATTTGGACTTCTTTTGATTTACCTTCTGGGTTTTGAACCTCTGTGATTTACTTTAAGCTTTTTACCATGAGCCTGACTGCTAGAAACTTCCTTTTTTTGTTTAAAATGAATTGATTAGTTTAATTAAACTGCAGTTTTAAGAAAAAAACACATAGCACAAGACTTGTGATAAACTTGTGAGAGATGACAACACTGTCTACAAATTTGCAGTATTTGCTATTGAGATTATTCTTCATCAGAGAGTACAGGGAATTAATCTTCAGTACATCAGCAAAGTAAAAATATATGAATTGCCTTTCATTAGATGAAAAAATACTCAACCTACTGTATTCTTTGACTAAAGAGTTGTATGTATGTATTGATATTAAGTTGTAGATAACACATAGATTTTATCTGTAGACTGTTAAAATAATTTTAAAGATATAATCAGCACTTTAAAGCTTTTTACTAGGTCAACATATTACACAAGTAGTTAAATTGCTAAACATGCTATAGAGTGCTGTGCTTTTCATCTGTTAATTTTCCATTCAAAGTGTTTAGACTCAGATTCAGGAAAAACGCTATAGTTTGATATTAAGCTGTATTTTGTTGAAACTAAAACATGCCTAAGAATAAAATATTTTATCTTCATATCAATTTCCTTCTTCTGTTTTACTTCTTCTCTCCCATAATTTACAAATCAAGAGAAAGGAGTCTTCGGACCAGTTTGTACTGCATTAAC